CCTGTTAATCAAATATGTTACTGTTAAATCGGCTTCACCCCGCAAATACTTAGGAACATTCATTGAAAACATGATGGCACAAGAAACTTCAAGTAAATGTTTATTCTTTCTTTCAGCAATTCCTTTTTGTTGGGGCATGTCAACACAAGTGGATTGGTGAAAAATTCCTTTTTTCTGTTAAAAAACTTCCTAAAACTTCATTAAAGTATTCGGTGCCGTTATCAGTATGAAGAATGCCAATTTTTGTTTGAAATTGATTTTCAATCATCATATAAAAATCCTTGAATAAATTTTCAACCTCAGATTTTTCATTCATTAAATACACCCAACACAAACGTGTATGATCATCAATAAAAGTCACAAACCATTTTTTTCCAGAAAGAGTTGTGATCCTAGAAGGGCTCCAAACATCGCTATGGATTAAATAAAATGGTTTTGATCTTTGGTAAGGTTTGGGAGAATACGTAGTACGATGACTCTTTGATAAAAAACAATTCTCACAATAAAAAGATGAACAATCCAATCCTTTAAACAAAGTAGGAAATAATTTTTTAAGATAAGGGAAACTAGGATGCCCTAGTCTAAAATGCCATAGCATTATTTGTTCTCTAACAGGGATAGAACAAAAACTACTCAGACCTTGAGCCTTTTTATTACTTGAAATATCATCTTCAAAATAGTAGAGACCATCTATCATCTTAGCACTGCCAATCGTCTTCCCCAAGCTCTGGTCCTGAAATTCACAATAGGATTCAAAAAAGATAACACGACAATTAGAGTCTTTGGACAATTTACTAACTGATAAAAGGTTACAAGCAAGCTTAGGGACATGAAGGACAGACTTAAGATCAATAATTTTTGAAAGTTTTACCAAACCTTTGCCTACAATAGGAGAATAAGAACCATCGGCTATTCTGATTTTTTCAGAGCCAGATCAGGGTGAATAAGTTTCAAATAAATGAGAAAAACTTGTCATATGGTCGAAAGCCCCTGAGTCAATGATCCATGGGGTAACACTAGAATTTGAACGACAAGATAAGGCCTTCGGGTTGTTACCTGTTTGAGCAAGAGAAGCATTAGGAGTACCAAACGAGGAATTGAATTTCAGCAATTTTAGAAGATGATCCATCTGTTCTTTGCTGAAGGGGAGTGCCTCGGCTTCATAAGCTGATGGGGCTCGGTTGAATCTGCCTTCCTGGTTGAATCTGCCTTCCTGCTTACTCTTCCAATTCGCTGGTTTACCATGAATTTTCCAGTAGGTTTCACGGGTATGGCGAGGCTTGTTGCAGTGGTCACACCAAAGACGAGGCTTTTCATCAGTTTTCTGCCAATATTCGCTTCAGATGCGACCAAGGCAAAGGTCTCAATAGCACCATTTGATAACTTTTTTCCAAGCATGACCAGCCTGCGACTTTCCTCTCTTCGAACCTCGGAGAAGACTTCACCGATTAAAGACAGGGGCTGTCGTCCAAGTATTCTGCCTCTCACTTCATCAAACTCGACATTGAGTCCTATGAGAAACTTGAAGATGCGGTTGTCTTCCACCTTCTTTTTATAATGGTTGCAATCTTCAAGCGATTTCCACTCATAATCGCTGAACAAATCAAGTCCTGCCACAAACGTTTTAGAGAGTTGAAATATTTTAAAACACTGTTATCTCCTTGACGAATCTCTTCGAGTTTCACCGTTAGTTCAGACTTGAGACTGATTTCCCAGGTCTGAATACATCTGGTTGACATTATCCCAGAGTTCTTTTGTTGTGTCGTAACACATATAATTAGAACTGATGTCCTCCTCCATAGAATTCACCAACCAGATCATCACCATCGAATTCTCTGCATCCCAGGTCGAGTAGGATGGATCTTCAGGTTTCGGTTCCTTCTTTTCTCCTGTCAAGTAGCCGATTTTGCCTCTACCTCGGATGTACATCCGCACGGACTGGGGCAAAGGAAGTTTTCACCGTTCAGCCGAATTGTGGTAATTTGGACCGAGTGTGTCTGAGAGTTTTGGACTTGGGACTCAAAGGTCTTGGTCTTGGACTCAGGTACGTCATCAAACATGGTGATTAGGGTTGTTTGGAAAAAAAAAAAAAAAAAAAGAGAGACGGCTAGGGGTTTTTTTTCCAGAAGAATCGGTAAGATGCTCTGATACCAAATAAGCGATTTCAAGATTGAAAAGAATCTGTATATTGCCGTACAAAGAATGGCTTACAATGCTTTAGTTAAATAAAAAATACAAGGAGCTAAAAAAAGGAAACTAACAGGATGTAACAGGAAACTACAGGCTGTGACTACAGGCTGTACACTAACAGAATTTCCTAATCTTAGTCATTGACTATCTATATTTACACGCCTATCATATCCCCTAAAATCTGGTCTTATTAAAACCAAATATCTCTTTTTCAACATTAAGACATCTACTATTACAGCTAGAGGTGGGGAGACGCGAGGAATAGTTGTGCAAACAGAGGAAGTATTGAGATTTGTGGTAGCTGCTACTGGGGGAGTCTGTGATACTCTTTTTGGGGAAGTCATGCAGACAATGGGTACCTTTATGGGGTACTGATTCCAACTGCCTTCATCCCTTTGCTAGAGGATGCGCTGCAAAGTCGTTGAGACATAGTGCTTGCCTTATCGGTGCGGCATCTGTTACTTCGTCATGGTGCATATGAGCTTCTGGGTCGAATCCTGCAGGCATTTACAGAGATTACTAATGGAGATGCCTCAGTGATTCTTTAAAATGAGGTCAAAGTTATTGTTGAGGACCTACGCTACTTGAAGGTAGAGTTGGGCTGGCTAGTGAGGAGACTAGCTATTGCCGAGCGTCGTCTACAAGCGGCACCAAGAGCACTGAAACCAGATGCTCGTATAGGCGAGGCCAGAGCCAAGCTAAAAGAGATGGAGGATGAGCGAGCGATGATGCAAGCTGTAATGGCAAAGGCAGAGGATGACCTGAGCCTTCTATCAACCTGACGAGGGTAGTGTATGGGATGTGTTGTCCCTTGACTGCTAGATTTTCTCAACAAATGTTTTTGTTTACTTTGTTTGTGTTTGCCCAACAATTCAGGCTACATTTTGTAATGTAAACATTGCTTCGGTAATGTGCAAGACTTTCAGTTTACATTGTGAGCAGTTTACTTTTTATGATGCACTTTTCATGCCAAAATTTTCTAAGTTATGAAATGAGAGCATTCGTTGAATCACCAAAATTTTTGAGTGTGAGAACTTGAGAAAAGTTTGGGGAATGGCCTAGTGGCCTTTAAGAGAATGTCTATATTTTTCAAACTTTCTAAGAACGAACTCGAGAAAGGTATTAAATGAGAGCATTAGTTGAACCGCCAAATTTTCTAAGTGTGAGAACTCGAGAAAAGTTTGGGGAATGGCCTGGTGGCCTTTGACAGAATGTCTATATTTTTCAAACATTCTAACTAAGAACATGAGAAAGTTTTGGAGTTGTATTGTCAAGAGATCGTGGGTGGAGTTTCTGATTCCTAGGTGTGGGTCCCCACATCTCAGGGGCACTTTGTTGTTCGGTCTTTCTATAGATATCTCATGGGGTGCCATAGGTTTCTTTTCCGTGGAAGGCGGTTTGGCAATCCAAAGCCCTTTTGAAGGTGGCTCAACACATGTTTTGTTTACTTCGTTTGTGTTTGCCCAGCTATTCAGGCTATATTTTGTAATGTAAGCATTGCTTTGGTAATGTGCATGACTTTCAGTTTACATTGTGAGCAGTTTACTTTTTGTGATGCATTTTTCTTGCCAAAATTTTGTAAGTGTGAGAACTCAAGAAAAGTTTGGATAATGGCCTAGTGGCCTTCGAGCTAATGTTTGTATTTTTCAAACTTTCTATGTAAGAACTCAAGAAAGGTATGAAATGAGAACATTTGTTGAACCGCCAAATTTTTAAGCGTGAGAACTCGAAAAGTTAGGGGAATGGCCTGGTGGCCTTTGAGAGAATGTCTATATTTTTTAAACTTTCTAAGTAAGAACTCGAGAAAGGTATTAAATGAGAGCATTCGTTGAACCGCCAAATTTTCCGTGAGACCTCAAGAAGAGTTTGGGGAATGGCCTCGTGGCCTTTGCGCGAATGTCTATATTTTTCAAACTTTATAAGTAATAACTTGAGAAAGGTACGAAATGAGAGCATTCGTTGAACCGCCAAATTTTTTAGGTGTAAGAACTAGAGAAAAGTTTGGGGAATGGCCTAGTGGCCTTTGAGAGAATTTCTCTATTTTTAAAACTCTCTAAGTAAAGAACTCAAGAAAGTTTTGAAGGAGTTGTATCGTGAGAAGATCGTGCAAGGAGTTTCTGATTCCTAGGTGTGGGTCCCCGCATCTCAGGGGCGCTTTGATGTTCGGTCCTTCTATCGATGACTTATTGGGGTGCCAAGGGTTTCTTTTCCAGGGAAGGCAGTTTAGCGATTCAAAGCCCTTTGAAGGTGGCTTTCTTTGCGTGGACATTTGTCTTGGGGAAGATCTTAACCCAGGATAATTTGAAGAGAAGAAATCAGGTTGTGGTCAATTGTTGTTCCATGTGTCTCAAAGGAGGACACGGTTGACCACCTCCTTTTGCATTGTCACGTCGCCAGGGACTATTGGAACCTGATGTTAGGTTTGTTCGGACTTCAGTGGGTTATGCCCAGGTCTTCCAGAGGTTTTGTTGAGGCCTAGAGAAGGAATATAGTGGGGGCCTAAGTCCCGAATGTGTGGAGGACTAAGCCTTCGTGCGTCTGGTGGTGTTTATGGCTTTAAAGAAACAAAAGGTCTTTTGAGGAAAAGGAGACTACATGGTGCACAAACTACAAAGGCAATTATTAGAACTTCCTTGACTATCTACTCACTTGAACTTGAGAAATAATCTAAACATGGGAATTACTTTACATCCTCTCTGATTAACTACTTCATCTTAAGCCATAAATTTTAGTTTCATGATATATTAAGTAAAAAATGAGGCAACTGAAGACAAAGTCAATAGTCTATAACAAAATAGACAAGAACATACAAGATGAGCACTGAGGTCCTTCAGAGTCTGACCATCTTCCCATGTCTCAGAAATGACAGTTCCAGCTCTACAATTCAAAAAAATAAAATAAAATTATTCAAACATAAATTAATGGAAAGCAAAATATTTTCCCCCTTTTTCCGATAATTACTGAATCACACCCATAATTCAATCTCCACTTTGGAGTGGCAGGAGACAGCACTTGGGGAACTGTACGTACATATTAACAGATCAGTTGACTATACAGCAAAGAATAACGTACAGCATTCTTTGGATACATAATTGCGATCGACAAAATCAGAAACCTTCATTAAGACAAAAAAATCCCAGCGAGACACATTTGTGCCAGATTCTACCCCAACAGACTTCCGGGAATCTGTCTCATATAGCTTGGCAAGGAAGTTTTGAGTAATGGGTACAGGACCCTTTACATGTAAGACTTATTGCATACCCAATTTAGTCAACAAGTTGCAGAAGCTTTTACTTGAGGGGTGTGCTCCTGCCCAATGAATATTGCTTATTCTAGTCTTTATCTGTGGTGGTATAAAACACTTATAAAAAATAAAGTAAAATAAAATCTTTGGTGGTATAAAACACTTATAAAAAAATAAATAAAATAAAATGATGTAGTACATGTGAACAGTGCATGAACAGTGTTTTCCAGAGTGTTTGCTAATTTCCTTTTTCATACTGTTTTAATAACCTAATAGCTAAGAGTCTGTTTTAGGAAGTTTTCATTGTTTTACTTTCCTAAATAGTTTAGTGTCAGTTTTAGGAAGTTTTCATTGTCTGTTTTAGAAAGTTTTCATTGTTTTAATTTCCTTAATAGTTTAAGACTTGCTTAGCCCTTTACTACAAAATGCTACTAAATCCATTAAGACAAATCCAATTGGTTTAATGCTTGTATAATGTCTCAAATGCATTAAAAAAAAAAAAAAAAAAAAAAAAAAAAAAAAAAAAAAAAAAAACACTTTTAAAGCTGAAAAAATAAGATGCCTCATACTGCCGAAAATTCTGGAGTGAAATCACTGAATAGGATTCATGCAGCTTCTTTAAGTTGAGTTGAATAATGATGAATACTTTTTGTCCTATCTTTTGATGATTTGTTCCAATATGGTTATAGATTTTTTATAAGAAAAAGTTTGAGAGGGCACAACCAGAGAGGGCACAACCAGTTTGAAATTAATATGTTACCAATATGACCATAGTGGATGATTTCTCTGGTTATGGATGGTACTAACTCATATGAATTTTCTTTTTCAAAAGAAATTGTAATTTGATATGATGCCGTGCAATTTATACTACAGTCTGGATATGATGCCGTGCAATTTATACTAAGGAATTCCTCTCGGATTTTCTCCGGAGCACCAAATAGGAGAGATGGCATGTTTCTATCTTTATTCTTTGGAGAGACCATTCATCATAGCATACTCGGTGTCACTTTTTGTTCTTTATATTTTGGGCACCAAAAGGGATAATAAAGTTTCCATTCTACGCATCTCTTGCTGAATAACAAAATGAATGGATGAGATACCTGATTACACCCACATTGCCAAGTCTCAGAGAATCCTGCCGTACTTTAGCCCTTGCTTCTTGTCTCTCAGCTTTTGAAACAGATATCAAAAGGTCAGATAATACTTTCATTCTCTGCATCAAAGAATATAACTGTCAGAACAATGAACCAACCAAAATCCTACTGCACATCATATTTTAAGAAAGCAAACAACAAGTACCAACTTTCCTGAATATCAAATTATCAGGCACATAAATGGAAAGTCCAATAGCAAATTGAAGGATAACAATTATAATACTAAGAGAGAAACAACTACATATTAGTCTAAACTGATGGATGTGCCTCATGTTATAGCTACTCTATGACAGCTGGTGCATTCACACTCCATAATATCTTTGACATCTTTCCCTTAACAACTTCATAGAGAACAGCTTGGACATCGAGGAATGTGATGAAGAAAATGTTACCCATTCAGCACCACCCAGAAAAAGTTCTGGATCCAAATTAACATCCTAACAGGAACCAAGCTGCTTTAGGTATGCATCCAAACAAAGGCTCTTGTACACATAGAAGCCACTTTTGAGTGACCTTTTATTTTATATGGAGATTAGTATGCCACTTTGCTATAACCGTACTACAAGGAAAATATACCATGTCTTTCAGCCATATACTTTGATAAGTAGTTAAGAGTTGAAAAACTAGGATCTCCGAAGTAAAGAAGTTATGAAAGAGAAGGAAAGGCTTTAGTACTCCATGGATGTACTCTCTTTCCTAGGGTAGTGCTTTGTTAGAGGGTATGCCCTGTCTTTACAGTGTACTCGATTACTATATCTTTGGACTAAAATTACCATCTCATTCATTAAAAAAAACAAAAACAAAAACAAAAAAGCGTCAGAGAACAAACCTTCGGCTTCATTTGCTGTTCGTGATCTTTGAGGTCCTTCAGTTCCTGCGAAATGATATGAAAACATGGATCTTTTATCACAATGAACAAAGTCACTCATCAACATGAAATCAGGTAAGAAGTAGAAGAGACTTAACCTTTTCTAACTGGCGGCAAAGATGCTGATACTCCAAAACCTCTTGACGTGATTTCCGAAGGTCCTCCTCTAATGATGCAACTTTTGCATGTAAGGACGTGATCTCTTCCTAATTACAGTTCATAGAAATAAATAGAATTGTGAGATCTCAAAACCTTGCTGTTTCTTTAGGCATAAAAATCTACCCAACGTGTAAATTTACATCCTTAGAAGAAAAGAACAATATAAATAATAATTTTTTCCATCCAACAAAATATATATATATATATATATTAAACTCTATACCTCTAATGAAGAGCGATTGTCATTCCTAAGTTGCTCTTTGGGCCAACCATCCTGCAAAATGAGATCAAGATGCGCCTTCTTATAATCAAAATGAATTATCACTTAGTGTTATCTAGCATATAATTACAAGCAACAGCGTCCTTCTTATATCATTGCACCTTCCACAAAAATTCTTGCATACTTTCAGGTTAGAAAGAACACTGATGTATAGGAATGTGGCTGATTCAGATTGCTAGACAGATTCTTTGGAATGTGGCTGATTCTATAGGCTTTCAGTTGCAGGATTGGGTGGTACTGTTCAACTGCTGAGTTGAGGTCTTTTTGTACCATCTGTTATGAGTTGTGGTCCTTGTGGAGTATGTGGTTTGTGAAGGAGATGTGGTCGAGGCCTATTTTTGGCTGCCTGCCCTCATCTAGCTTCTGGGATCCTGGTTGCAGCCTCTCTGTTATTCCTTTTCTTTTTTTTTTCACTTTTTTGTTATGCAATTCCTGTGTGCTTCTTTCTGGGGGTGGACCATTGTTAAGGTCTGATGTTCAGTATCTTGTGTCTTTGTGGTCCATTGTTTACTAATCAAATGTTACTTAGGAAAAAATTACACTGATCTATCAAAAAGGGAAATATTTAGAAATGCATAAAGCAAACATTAATCTGTCCAGTATTAATTGTTTCCATATACCCAGAAGCACGACCCAAGGGAGAATCATTACGCTCTTTACTGATGCCAGAAGGTCCAATAGGCCTTTAAAACCAAAAGATAAATTCATATACCTTAATCCCATGGAGAAAAGGCGAGTTTTACAAATAATAAGCTTCCAAGCAGGCCATAAGAGTATTCAAGGTATACATCACCCTAATGTTTTTCTATTACAATGTCACCTAAGCTTTGTAAATAACAGTAAAGGCAGAGAAATAATATCGGTCACATCAACACAGCAAAATACAATGGCCGTAACATAACAGACGCAACATCAGATTCGTGAAAATTTTCCTCCGTGAACAACTCCTTCAAAGTGTACTGAGACATATGTTTTAATCCCAAAAATCCTATAATGGGTTTTTAATAATTTTAGTGGATTTTGTTGAATTTATCAAGATGAGATAATGTGGGCTATGAATTTCGCATTGAATTTTAGGTTGCTGTCAGCAAGAACAGCTTTCATATTGAATTTTAGGTTGCTGACAGCAAGAACAGTTTACTACTTTTTACTTATAAAGGAAATTGTTTTCAGATTTATACTATTTAAACATAACGCATAAGTTGTTTGTGATGTAAGAACAAAAAGAATTTAAATAAGCATGTGAGTATACCTTCCTTCAAGTCTAATACTAATGAAACTAGCAAATTGTATAGACTTCTTTAGATTATATAGTAATAAATTTCATTCTATCCAACTGAGAGTTTATTCTTGCATAAACATGTTGCAAAATTAATTCAGATCATGAAAAGCACAAGATACCATAAGTTATGGAAACAATCCTCACTTCCCAAAAGTGCCTCACAGTTACTAACCAATTAAATGGTTATCATTTGATGCACAAAATAGGCAAAAGCAAATGCCATGCAGTAATAGTAATAATTTTAATTGTAACGAATGCATTGTGATGTTATTCCTCGGGTTAATGCTACTGCATGATACCCAATATCTCTATCCAATGCATACCAATATAAAAAAAATTTCTAGTGATTTCACAATTACGCTATGATTGGACTCCCTAAGAAAACTAAAAATGGCATATTAAGAATTCATTCTTGTTTTAAATTAAATACTTTTGTGGGAAAAATAGTTTATGGGTTAAGAAAGAGCCAGAAATGATGAAGAACAATGGTTTTAACCTTCAATGCTAGCTATGCACACTCTTTTAAGGACAATATTGAATATTCAAATTCAAATTCAAATATTATTTAATGTATCTAGTAAATACAGTGACCTTTATTCACAGTAAATGGTTGTTTTATTGATTTCCTTATTCTAATGAATGTTTCAATTTAAATATGTATATATTTTAATTTTATTTTGTTCCAGCGTATGAAGGCGCTAACCCACATCAAATCATGTTGCTGATGTGATATCAATGTCGTGCAACTATTAGTCCTCTCACACTTTTTCCATTTTTTTTATAAGTAAAATTGTATTAGAAAGTGTTCAAAAGGGGAACGCATCCCAAGGAACTACACAAGGCCAAAAAACCACTAAACTCAGAAAGAGTCCAACAAATCAACTATCTCCTCCGTGGATTTACAATTTCTCCCCAAAACCCAACAAAAAAATAATAAAGAACAGAGAATTTAAGTGCTCCAATAGGAGTCTTCTTGCCATCGAAGGATCTATTCCTTTTTGTCCATAAACACCACCAAACACAAAGAGGCGTTACCCTCCAAAAGTTGCGGGCTTGGCATCCACTATACATTCTCTCCAAGCCTCAATCAAACCCCTGGTGGACCTAAGCATAAGTTCATAACCCAACGGACCCCAAACAAACTCGACAAAAAGATAATCAATCGTCTCCTCATTTCTCTTGCACATACAACACCAATTAACCACAATTTGTTTCCTCCCTCTTAGGTTGTCTAAAGTAAGAATCTTTCCTAGCACAACCGTCCACACAAAAAAAAAAAAAAAAAAAAAAACCCACCTCCGGGGGGCCTTGGACCGCCACACAGCCTTCCACGGAAAAGGAGGCCATGAATCATCCGTGAGGTATCTGTACAGCGACCACACAGAAAATCTCTCCTATGGATAAGGAACCCAAATGCAGGAATCACATCCCTCTCCCACAATCTGCTGACGGTAAAGCAACTCCAAGAAACCAAAAACATCCTCCAATTCCCAATCCCAAAAGTGCCTCAAAAAATGAACATCCCAGAATGTCCTCCCACTATCAAGCCGATAACAGTCGGCCAGCAAGGCGTCTTTATCCGCAGCAATCCTGAAAAGACTAGGATAAGTGCAAGCCAAAGAACTCTTCGTAGATTTAGTGCTGGTTCTTATGGAAGAGACCCACCCTAACCCTGAAATGGTAGGGGGTGAATCAACTACATAGTCGAGGGGGTCTTGTGGGTAAACTATCTATCGCGCGCACACACGGACACTAGTGAATCAATACGTTTGTGCCGTTTGTCTCATAGCAGCCTCGGGAATAGCTCCCGTGAAAGGGTACTTCACATGCTTTACAACACGAACTTCTTCTAAGCCCTTAATCAACCTGGCAAACGAAGAAAATTGTCTATTCTAGAGTTTCCTGCACCAAATGTCCTTCCAGATCAGATTCTCCTACCATCCCCCACTCTGAATCTGAAGATGTGTTTAGAAAATTCGTCCCACCCTTTCCGGATGAATTTCCAAAAACCAACACCACCTGGAATCCTTTTTTCTTTTTCTTTTTTTTTCTTTTTTTTTGATAAATAAAATGTATTAGAAAGCGTTCAAAAGGGGAATGCATCCCAAGAGATATACAAGAAACCAAACAAAAAGCCCTATAGATCCAAAGAACCCAAAAAGTCCACAAACTCATATAAAGATATACAATTTCTCCCCATTACCCAACTAAAAAGAGAACTAATAATAGCAATTTTTTTTTTTTTTTTTGCCTAGTTGGTACTCACACACTTGTCTCTTTCGAGACTTGAACGTCTGACCTCCCTTTGGAAGGTAAAAGGCTGATACCGCTAGGTCACTGGCCTGTTGGTAATAATAGCAAATTTCAGCGCCCAATGGGGGTTTCCTCCCCATCAAAAGATCTTTTGTTTCGCTCTTTCCAAATACTCCACCAAACACAAAGGGGGGTCACCCTCCAACAGACACGAGCATGGTCCCCAACCCTTTGGCCCCTCCAAATGTCAATCAAATCCCTTGAAGACCGAGGCATAACCAATGGATGCCAAAAAGACCAAAAATAAGACTCCAGCAATCATAAGCCATAGGACAATGCAAGAGAAGGTGATCCATAGACTCTCCATCATTCTTAAACATACAACACCAGTTGACTGTGATCTATGTTTTTGATGTAGAACAACTCGCTCACGATTATCTGAGCATACAGGATCATCGCAAATCAGGGAGGCTGAAAAGGTAAGGAAAATAGAAGGAAATAAATAAATATGGAAAAGTCAAAAGAATCATCGAAAATCAGAGAGGCTGAAAGGGTAAGGAGAATAGAAGGAAATAAATAAATAAATAAGGAAAAGTCAAAAGGAGATTTAGTGTAGTTGCCAGTACAGAAGATATTATTCTCCATTGCAAGATTTAAGGAGGATTCTACTCTATCAAATCTCAGATTTCCCCTTTAATATTATTTCACGCATGCTTTCTTTTTTTATTTTATTTTTGACTTGCCTACAAAGGCAAGAGATGTAAGCATACAAACATCATCATTATCAATATAATTTCAATTTCTCTCTTGTGAGTATGTTCTTTGTGAGTTCAAGGGTTTAACCCTGTTCTTTATCGTTTCCGCTACGTTAGTTTTCTTTCTCAAATTGTCTAGTCATAATCTTACCCAAAGTCGCGGTCCAAACAAAAAATGCCACCCCGAGAGGAGCCTTTAAACACCAAACCGTCTTCCACGGGAAACTAAAGCCATGAAAACCGGCGAGGCAAAGGAATAAAGAACGGACGTCAAACCTCCCCTGAGGAGAAGGCATCCAAACCAAGGAGTCAGACCCTTTACCATCCACATCCTAGCTATACAAAAGATCCAAAAGGCCAAGGACATCATCAAGTTCCTAATCCTGGAAAGAACGCCGAAAACGCACATCCCATGTAAGCGTTCCACTATCAAGCCGATAACAGTCCGCTACCATAGCATGTCTATTCGCAGCAATCCTAAAAAGTCTTGGAAACAACCTAGACAAAGGGCAATCCCCACACCAATAATCCTCCCAGAACCGAACATCCCTGCCCTCCCGAACTTTGAACCTTATATGCTTAGACAGCTCTTCCCAACCCTTGTGAATAAATTTCCACCTGGAATCCTCACTTTGAGGGATCACCAACCTCTCCTCTCCTCACCAAATCTGCAGGCGATCACTCTCCTCCAATGTCTATCCCTC